CCTCGCGGAGAATGTCGGCTGCAGTGAGGCGTGGGTCACTCCCTGCAAGCCGCGCACAATGTTTATGTCGACGAGACGAGACGTCCCTCTTGCTGCTCCTTGGTGTTTTTTGACTTTGGCAGACCCAGAGTCTTTGAATATCTTCCAAATCTTCTGGGCACATCGCATAGAAGCTCCTGGATTTCGGAAACTTGCCTAGATGTCAAGCCTTCATGGTAGCTCCGAACGATGGCGTCGACCTGGTCCTGCCGCAAGTTGCGAGCTCCCAAATATCTTGGCATGGCCTGAGTGATGTGTAAGGCACATGGAAATAATACCAGACAGCAAAAAACACCCATAACCCTTGACATAAAAACTCACCAGTTATCACAAGTAGAGATGGGTGTTGGCTAACAGTATTCAAAAAGAGCGCCAATTTTTGTCGGATGGGGGCTGCTGCGCTGTTGCACCAGTATAATGTTAACGGCTATTTAACTCAACACTATTCAGGTCTCACCCCAAGAGCTTGAGATTTTAGGGAGTTACGCTCTGAAAAATGAAAACGAATGCTTCACTGCACGGTACTGTATGTATGTGAATAGGTGCGTGTTCATGTCAGTATGTACAGCCGATATCCAAAAGTTGGGGGTGGGTGTGTCACCAAAAATGACGTGCACTTGGTAGAAGTTGCGTAGATAAGCTATTGCCAGCTTGCTTTGCTGATCCCAACGATGTACGATATATTGGAAGCAGCGTATCCACATAGTTTCTATCAAGTGCACGTCACTTCCGGTGACACGCCTACCGCAACTCACCGATATCGAGTGTATGTATGTTGCTATGTCTACGTTATGTGTACTGGTAGGTATGTGGGTGTGTATTTATGTCCTTATATATGTATACATACCAGCTTAGCTCCGCGTACTACCGCGCACATGGCACGGTAAACTTCGGAAAAAACAGACAGCTTGTACAGCGTTAGATGGCTGAAAAAATCCAACAGTAACTTACTTCGTAAAACGGCCTAGCTTTGGTGAAATGGTACAGCTGATAGAGCGTTAGGTTCACCGCTAAGCATTTAGTTGCTTTGTAAAATGCGTTAGCTTACCATTTCCTAGGCTGCCCATTATTTGCAGAAGCTCAGCGTTTGATACGCGCAATGGAGTGCGCAGCCAAAGTGGTGTCTGTAAACAACCACCACGCATCAAATGTCGGTGTAATTTAGCGGTCCAATTCTGTGATGCTGAAATAGAAATAGCCAACAGTCTTCATCGTATTTTCCGAGCATCAACCATACCTTCTAAGAATTCTAGGGAGCGTGGCGGTCTAATGGTATTTTGGGCCGACGATAACAACGCAAATGGAATGATCCTTATCCTTACTATATATAAAGCGCTATGTCTGTCTGTTTGTGTGTGTGTGCGTGTGCGCGTGTGTCACGAAATTCATAGCACGCGTCGCAGCAGTCGTTGGGAGCTGATAGCTGATATTTTTCGATATGATACACCGCGTTTCATTATTATAGGTCCACCCTAAATTTTTGCTACCCCAAAGTTGCTGTGCATTTTTTGGAAATGCTGCTATCACCATTAGATTCCTCATCACGGAAAACCTTAGTAGTGTTTTTCTGACAAATTCCCTCCTCAAGTAACCCAATTAACTTTTTTAGAACAAATTTTCACCGTTTCATGAATATCGGGCCAATCATAAAAAATTTCCATTTCTCACGATCCGTGAAAGAAATCAGGGAAGCGGGAAAATATGTGGGCTCAGTCGACATCGAGTTTACCATACCTCGTGTTATTCGCCTCTCTTCCTAGTAACAAACTCAAGCTAGAGCACTTACTGAAGTGGGATAGCTGATTAGCAGAATTTTCTCCCATGTCGGCCGGCTCATACTGCATAAGCGACTATGTACAAAATCCTGGTCAGTGCGGAGAGAAGAGTCGCTTAGGTAAATAAAGACTGCGTTTCCTTCAAAATTTAAGAGGATTTGGTGTCTTCTGTGACTGTCTTCTCTCGAATTATACAAGTAGTCCGACCAGAGTCCGTACTGAAATGCGGACTTCCGTGAGCAAAACCACCGTGTGGTGAGTGAGCCAGCAGAGCAATAACATCTTCAACGGATTGATGAAGAGCGTTCCAAGATTATTTGGGCGCTACAAGATCGTAAGTCTCCATTTCTCCGAGGAAAAGGGTGGAGCGATAGTGTGGCTGTTAAGACCCTTCGCGATCTTGGACTCTACCTCCTTGTTTCGTTCTACAGGTGGTCTGAGATCGACGTGGAAAAGTTTATTCTAGGTGGATATGGCAGAAAAAGATGGTACAATATGATCGCGTGAAAATCGCAGATGGTTTCAATGTGACGTAATTTCGGCGGCGAATCCTTTATGATTTGAGGCACCTTTGAACGGCTGAACTTTTTGTGAACGGAAACAAAAGCTAGAGCTCGCTTTTGTTCCCGTTCACAAAAATTCCACAGGGCATCGTGAAGTTCCTCTGAAGCGAGTCTTACCATTTTTTCAACAAGGATCTCCTCTATCCTTGATTCTCACACACGATAATGCGGCTGTCCATGGCGGTCCCTCCGCGCCAGATGGAAAAAATGTGGCAGTTATCTGGTGGCCACCATGTTATCTGAATTAGATTCCAACCAGATTAGTCCCCCGTCAATCGCCGGGACCTTCCTTTCCTGCGCTCCTCCGCTATGGTCCCTTCCTCCTGTGACACCAACACCTGGAAGTGACGCGTATGCAACACAATGGTGTTTCATACAGTATAGAGTACACAAATGTGAGATATGCTGGAGATTATTTCGCTTTCCCTTATCTCACTCCTCTTCCATGTCCTCCAGGTGCACTGCAGCACGATGTGGATTAACGGAAGTTTAGCAGGTGTTCTATTTAGCCCTAGGTTTATCACAACTATCCTGTCCTACAAACTTTGTATTCAATCCTGAAGCTACCGATTGTTAGCGGCGTTTGTTTAATCAGGAGTTCCTTCTTATCATCTTCATTTTGCGGCACGGACACCAGATACACACACACCATATACACATATACAGTATACACACGACACACAAATTTCGCATTATTTAATTAGAAGAATAGAGAATTCAATGGGCCATTAAGTGTTATAATTCCACAGGCAAAGTAAAAGCAAAATGGAACAGCCGAAAAAATGAATAAGGTGATCATTGCGCCCAGACGAATTTACGATCATACCTGTAATAGCAAATTTGAGCTACGCAGCATTATAAACGTATTGTTGTGTTTCTTTATGATATTGGGGCGTATAACTTATTGAATTCGTACGTTTTTTACTAATAAGTAATCCTGAAGTCGAGATGTGTAGTATATTTGCGAAAGGAGTGGAAAATAGTTTCTAAGGAAGTATTTTATAATTTTGAATCAGGAATTTTATCAGAAGTCAAGTTATCATAGTTTTTTTCGATAGAAGGAAAACTGCTACGGTGTAATAGCGGAATTTCCAAAAAATGCACAGCAACTTTGGGAATAGGCAAAAATTAGAGGTGGGACTATATTAATGAAGCGCTATATAGGGTGGACGGGAACAGTATTTGGTGGGGGTCACAAAGTGATAACTGACTGATAAGATGCAGATTAAGAGGCCGCATGAAAACAATTTCACGAAATCTTAGTGCCGCTTCGCGTAGCGTTGGGGAGCTGATTTTAGAAGATGATATAGGGGGTGGAAATATAAATGACAAATATATTTGGTGGGGGTCAAACGTGATAAACGACTGATGAGGACTGATAGTAGTGCATATAGCTTACGACTAGAGAGCCCTTAAAAGTAGATATCATTTTATCAGCGCTTTGCTCAAGTCGTAACTCAAAACATAAGATTGAACGCACTGCTAGCGAGTACTTGGAAATGAAATGGCATTATGAGTATAATATAATAGAAACTGGCATTTCGCGTTTTGGAGATATTCCGACCTAATTACCTCGATAATCGTGAGCAATAGTTCTTGGTCTTAATTCTTTAGCTGTGCACTTCACTGCGCTTATCATACAGTGAGATATAGCTAGGCTATGCCACGAACAGTAATTCATTTAACGAGGCAGCTATAATTTAGCGATTAAATCTAAAGCTTCATCGTTGTCAGCTCTATCAATGCGCGCGGTAGCGGGCGGAGCTGAACTAGTATTAAAATAAGATGCTTTATCTAGAGTATGGTTTCGAATGACCTCTATATTCTTGCATTGTTATTATCAGCAGCCGTGAGCCGTCATCACTTGCAGCAGTACGCCCTTATCATTTTGGGTCCCCCACTGAAGATGGTCCCGTCCTGTCACTGTTGCCAAAGTGCGCTATGAATTTCGTGACAAACAGACGCACTTATACGCACAGACACGCATATACATACATAATTTGCGAATTATATATTGAAGGACAAGTTTAGTGCCGCGTGCATGAAACGGAACACTCAGCTGAAACAGAACAGCCGATAAAGCGTCAGATTCACCGCTAAACATTGAGATGCTCCCTAAAATGCGTTAGCTACCGTTCACAGGCTGACCGTCTCTGGAGCCCACCGTCTGATATGCGCAGTGGAGTGCAGAGCTAAGGTGGTGTATGTAAACAATAACCGTGCATCGAATGTCAGTGTGATTCAACGGTCGCATTGTGTTTGAAGGACTTCACGATTGGAATGAAAGTCGAAGAAGGAGCAATTCACCTAGTTGAGGGACTCGCGAACCTTCTAAGGGTTCTGACTGAAGCGCGATTGGTACCAAAGCAGTTGACCCCAGCGACTTATTGAGGATCAGTCTAGGCGCAGTGGGTCAGTGCACGCCCACCTCATCTGATCACTTGGCCTTGAGTCTGGACACAGGCTTATACGTAGCGAGTGATTAGATAGGTGATAGAGCATGGTGTTGAAGAGGGCACAGCGATGACAGTCGCATCAATGCTCAAATCAACGGGCAAGGAGGGGGTCCCGTTTCCTGGGTTCTGGACCGTTTCTCATGGTCCTTCCTCCTTGCGTGAGTGACCAGGTATCCAATCTTTGAATACACGAGTTTCATTCCTGATGGAAGGCTGTGTTTTTGTCCCAGTCCTTGGTCGAACAACGTGAAGAGATCGCCACAACCCAGCAAAATGGGAGTTTGCAATGTTTGGATCTGTGGCGAAATTGACAGCTGGATGTCGTGATCTTGAAGATATTGTCGATCTTCGCGGTGGAGTTCCGTCCGCTTGACGTCTCCTGTTATGAAGTCGATTTTTGCCAGTTCAAAGCTGTGCCGGACTCCTTGACGGTCCTCGATTTCGACCTGGGTTGTCTCGCAAGATTGCTCTGTCGGAGAGCTATTGCCAAACGTGTGGATGGTTAATTGCAGTTGACCCGTCTTTCCGAGTCCTAAGTGGTCTGCATAGTTGCGCGTGATGAACGACTGGTCTGCGCCTGTGTCCATCATGATGTGAACGTCCTCGAATTCCTTTGTCCGAACGTTCCAAACTCTTGCTTGTCCTACGAGAAGGTCCACTGAGTGCTCCGACGAGCGTGGAGTGTCTTACTGGCATAGGACGACGTGGTCGCCGATCCTGCAGGATGTAGAGCTCTGGTTGGCTACGACCGCGGCGAAGTTTTGAGACACTGCTTTCTTCTTTGGTGCTGGTGCCTCTGGTTGAGCCTTTGGAAGAGCATTCCTTGCTGGTTTCGGTGTCCATGCTTGTGGTTTGGGAGCTTTCCGACAGATTGAGGTGTGATGACCCTTTTCGTTGCACTGTCGGCATGCTCCACCGGTACAGTCCTTGGCGCGATGGTCTCCTGATCCGCAGTTATGGCAGAGATTCCGTCGCTTGATCACTTCCAGTCGCTGCTCGATTGTGGTATACTTCGGACAGGATCTTGGTGTATGGTTGGTGTCGTTGCAGTAGAAGCACGGGAATGTCCTAATGCTTCTGTTGTTCGCAGATCTGGCTTCTGTTCTGTCGACTGGTATCATGCTCGGAATTGTCTCCTTTCGGTTACTTTCCATGGTCCCTCGCATATTTTGAATCTGAGCTTCCACTTCGAAGAAATCCTGGAGATCTTTTAGCAATTGCTTCGTCGACCAGCCATCTGCCGATTCCGCTTTTTTCCTCAACACGGACCGTTGGATTCTGTCGTTGAACTTTGACAGGATGGTATGCTGCATTTGCTGGGTATTGGTATTCTCTCCTTTCTGCTCTCGTTGAGCCACAACGGGGAGAATCTTGTCGAGGGTATGCATTTGGTCTGCGATTGTTGCGCTTCTCGGTCGCATATCCTGGAGATGTTGAAGCAGTTGGCTGATGACTGCTTCTTGGTTGTCGTATTTCCTTCGGAGAAGTTGGATGGCAACGTCGTAGTTGTCCGCTGTGACTTGAAGCTCTTTCACCGTATCCATTGCTGGTCCTTGAAGGGCTTCCAGCAAGTAACTAAGCTTTTCGATCCTGCTGATGTTGCTTTTGTGGATGACGGCTTCGAAGATGCTCCAGAAATGATCCCATTCCCACAGTTGTCCTCGGAACTTGGGAATTGGAAGTGGGGCTAGACGTGGCTGAAGAGCTTCGTCCGTAGTTGCATCGGATTGCGTCGTATTGGAGTTTTGTTCCAAGAAAAGGGAGAGCTGAACCAGACGATTGATTCCTCTGAAGAGTATCTCTTGAGCAACGTCGATGTTCTGCTGGATTCTGTCCATTTGCTCTTCGCTCGGTGGCTGGTCTACCATATCGGCCGCCTCGATAAAGCTGTCGAGGGCCTTTTGTAGATTGGTTGTCTTCGTCTGTAGCTCTTGGTGTTCTAAACGACCTTTGAAGTTGTTGCTGGTTTGATCCATCAATCGCGATTCCTTGTGGATTGTCCAGCGAGAGCGAAACGCATTTCTTGAGTACGTCGTCGAGCGTTGCGCCCATGCGTGTAAGCCATGCTTGCTTTCCACTGAGTCGAACTGTCATCCTGTTGATGAAGTTGATCCTGTTGGCGTGAAGCTGGTGCTTGTTTCGGTTGAAAACGGTCGAAAAGGCAAGATTCCTGGTGTGTGCTAGAGAGTGCTGGTGAGCGACGGGACGTCACTTCGCATGCAGACGAGACAGGACCAGGAACAGATGTAGAAGTCGTAGAACTTACGTACCAATTCGGCCGATGCACCAATGTGGAGGATGTCGCCAATAGTTGCCACGCGGGACTTTTGCTTGGTAGACCAGATCTCAAACTTGGGTAATTAAACGTTTATATAATATTTTATATAAAATAAACATTATAAACGTGAAGGCGATCAATAGGTTCAAATTGTGAGCGATTTGAGCCAAAATGAAGTGAGTTATGTGAGTTGAAAGGCACGACGATGATCCTGATGTGAGTTCCTATTGCATGGACCGTATAATGGTAGATCAAAAGTGAAGGATAATAAGTGAATAATAAATGAAATAGACCGACGGTGGAAACCCGACCGTCCGAGGCGATGGCACGAGCAAGAGAATGCCGAGGAGGCGGGGTCAGGGGTGAAGCCGTGGTTGTTTATAGATGGTGCTCCTGATAGGGTGCGCGAGCACAAAGAATCTCAACATGACTCAACCGAAGAAGCTCATCGATTGAGGAAATGCGAACTCACAGGAATGAGTCATCTAATTGAGGAGGAAAATGGTTGGAGATTATGGTGGAGGTACAATAATGAGTATTACGCTAATAATAGGTCACACGAGGGTGAGCTATCTGTTACATAGGCACTGAGAGAATCGATATACTGTAACAACAGACGACACCTAGGTAAGCTATCGATGACAGAGGTAATCGAGGGAATCGATATAGTATGTATGTATGCATGCATGACCTATGTCTGTCTGTCTGTCCACCCGTCAGCAAAATAAATGAAATGTGTAAGCAGCTGATTTTATCGAAAACCATTACTGGAATGTCCGAAAACTTTCTTGTCTCTGATCTAGCAGCGGTATAGTAGGACAGCCGGTAGCTCGTTAAATAGCGTAGAGTTTACTTCAATTAGTAATTTTATTCCAATTTATGGAACTTTAGAGTGTTCTTCAATTTTTTTTTCCAGTGAAGTTAACGGTTCTGAGGAAACTGCAAGCGCACAGTTTCATTGGAAGAGAAGATTCAGGCAAAGTGGTTGTGACGTGGCAAGTGAAAATGGAAAATCTGTTCCCAAATGAACAATTTCACATAAGGTTTATAAAATTATTTAATGTACATTTTCACAGTAAACCGATGGAGTGATCGCAATCAATTGTCCCTCCATCATGCAAACCGCTAAGCCGCTAATCTAGTGAGCTGATTCGCATGAACAGGGGGCCAAAAAAAGAGTCTTTCTGACTAACATAACAGAATTAATTAAACTTCGCCGGAACCAAACCAAATGAGCGTATTGAAAAGCACATTCTATTCTATCAGAAAAATCACGTAGGGGCTTTCTACACCGGCGTGATCAGAACATTCTCCCACGAAAGCATGGCTCGCGGTACGAGCTCAACGAGGTCGTCAAGAAGCCGTAGACCATTACGACGTCTCTGAAACTCTGGTCAAAAGCCATTTTGCATATTCAGAGCTAGTGTCCCTAAGAAGTCATACACCAGTTATCCGAGTGAAGAACTTATGTAGCAGCTTCAGAATGGAGCAATTATCGTAGGCCTCCTTGAGCTCGGCGGTGATGAGAGATGACGTCAAATTCTGGAGACGAAGAAAGCAGCGAAGATGGGCCTGATTCTGCTTATGGGGGGACATTTGAGGGATAATTCGCCATATGGCCCCCAATAAGAGCGGCATCCCTTGCGATTAAAAGTTCGATGATATGCACTATGGGCGAAGTGACTTTTTGTTGCCCCCTTGCTATGCATCCCGGTCAGTCTGTCGGTATCTACATACTGTCAGTATATAAAGGGGAGGGGACGGGGTAAAAATGGCCATTGACTTTTCGTTGCACAGGGTGCCCCGTCGGTGGAATTATAACAAAAAATCCCTCGAAACGAGTCCTCTTCCGCAGTCCCACCGTCTTCAGAATATGACGTCATCTGCCGTCACCAAGTTAAAGGAGGCCTACCGTGATCACTTCAGCCTGCATCCACTACTTGATTTTTCTGATTGCATAACTGATGGATAGCTCTCTAGAGCAAGTATTAGGTCGATCAAAAAGTATTCGCCGTTTTGCACCTCGATTAGTCCCCTGCATTTTTTGATAGTTTCTTTCGCAAGTATTCAAACAAATTGGGTGTCACTTATAGAGGACGGTTAGCCCTCCCATATTCATACGATGGTTTGAGGTGATTCCTAGAACATTGGTCTTTTTACCCTTTTCTTTAGGATAAGCAAAATCGTGATTTTCGATTGTTGCCACTTCATGCCTTCAAACTTGGAACAGACACGCCAGGGCCGGCTTGCAATATGGCGACTACATTGAGAAGGAGTACTGCTAGGAAACGCATAGCGCAAGATTAGTTCGGCAGGCCTAGACCTAGAGAATTAAAGCTCGAAAATAATGCGCGTAGTGTAAGGAGTGCCCTCACGTCAATGTATGAGATTGTAAAAAAAAAGAATGAAAGAAGCTTATCACTGATACCCAACTACAGATGTGCTATTAGAGGTTGAGTCTCTAAAGGCACCGAACTCAGCCTGGTGGACGCTGTGAGAAAGCAGGAAAAATGTCGTCAATCTATTCATCGGAGTAACCCGTACTGGCAGCTTTAGCAGTTGCGACGCGCGTGGAGGTGTGTGCTTGGACTGTTCCTTGCAACAGTAAGGAACAGTTTTCAAGATGGGTAATAGTAGGGGGTAAGACTATACTTCTGCACGCTGACAGTGAAAGGGTTACCAAATATGTGGACGAAACCAAGCTGCCATGGAACGCTGCAAAACCTGGAGCACCTCCAATAAAGATTTTCCTCAATTTCTATGGCCTAGTTCATTTCAAAGTCCGAGAATTGATTCATTCGACGACGGCCGAGTCCTGTCGTAAAAATAGAACATAAAACATGAGAAACTACGGGGATGATAGCTTGCTTCGAGGAAAAAGTGAGGTCTAGCCCTTCACACGATAGCGCAAAATCGCCCACCGCAAAATACGCTCTGTAGAATCCATTCCGGAATGGCTCAGAAGTTCTTTCGCAATCCTTTATATAGCCCAGGTACGTCTTTCACAAAGTATCAATACCCCGCTTTTCAACATATTATAGTTCTTGGAGAAGAAATCGCGTTGAAAACCGAGGCATGTCAAATGCGCCTTCCTACAGCTTTTAGCCTACAATAAATTAAAGATTCATAGGAAGGGATATTCTTAGCATGGGTCTGATTGAGAACAATCTGCTGGACGTAGCAGTTTTTATTGCGAACAAAAAGATTGTGTTTCAGCAAAGTGTGGTGCTTCAGCATTAGGGAGTCAAAACGGCGGATACTTTTTGACCGACCTAACAGCCAGGGTCAACCGTCCGTTGGACAAAGTCCAACGCGACGACGAGCGTAATGCCGAGAGTGAACGTACGCACGGAGACACAGACGGCTGGTGGGAGGCGAGAGTGAATGCCGGCGCGGAGAGCGGTCAACATCGGTCCAACGTCGCTCCAATATCGGTCCAACGTAACGGTTGACCCTGCTAACAGCTCTGCCTGTGCAAGACAGCTTTTGGCCAGTGCTCCGCAAAATCGTAATCATTTGCGATCCGTGTTGAGCTTGAACCTTGACCGTGCTTCCGCGGAAAGGTATTCTGGTGTCGCTAAATAGGAGGCCACTGTGAAGTCTTCAATTATTAACTTTGACGGGTTCAATTCCCGTCTGGAGCGAATGTTCTGTTAACAACCCCGCATTCTTGTGAAGCTACTATGAAGTATTGTTTTTGATAGACTGGAAAGTGTTCTTCAAATTAAAGTTCTTCAAATTTAACGAAGTGGAATTATCCTGTATCTGGGAGTGACCCTTTTTTGCCCACCTCCTGTACAATCCGCTGATTGGTTGCGTGTGTATGTGGCGAACACTGATGACACCTTACCCTTCCGTCAGTATCATCGGCAAAATTTGCTTCTGAGCAAATTTCCGATTTTTGGCATCTATTTATCATCTCATCTATTCATTATGTTCATCTTGACGATAACCTTAAAAATGCGAGTATTCTTCACTACAAGTCTTATATCACTTGAAAGCCGTCTCCCAACACCCGCTCCCAAAATTTTTTCCTACTCTTTTTTTCATTTATGCGGCCGCCCAGTGAAAATGAAGCCCAGCTCTGTGGATCATGTGAAAGCCACTGCAGTTTAAGAGAAATCATTCTGAAAAAGCGCTTCAACCTTGAACGACCTTCCTTGTGATGGTCATGACTTTTCTGTGCTCGCGAAAAGCTCCCAAAAACACGGAGTAAAATATAGACATCTATGCAAGTGGCAAATTTTTGAAACTAAGGGTATGGATCCAATAAACTAGCGGTATCAATATCAGAATGATCCAGGCCCGAAACTAGCCACCAGTGCGCATGTGTGTCTTCGAGTTCGCGGCGCGGGAGACCTACTGACGTCGCATGACATGAGAATTCTATTTGGTTCCAGCATTATATGTGATAATGGAGATAAACGCAGAACTTTTCTTATGATATATTGCTTTCTTTCAGACGGAAAAGGATCTATGACAACCAGGAAACGGTTATGGAGACATTGTACGCCTCTATCAGCAACAGAACATGTGTAAGTGTCACCGTCAGAAATGGCATCCAGTGTACAAAATTCAGTGGTTCTGAAGACAAGAATCGCCGTCAGACCTTTAGAGCAATTCGCTCTGTGACTGAGTTGAATGTTTTTTAAACCGCAATATTTGGCAGTAGAAGGTTCTGCCTTGGCGGCCGCTGTA